ATAATGGTCTGCTTACCCTACTTAATTGTGCCCTTCCTCCTCGGTCACGAGTTTGAGCCTAGTGAATTTCAATTATTTTCTCAACCCTCTATTATTATATTTTTACAAAAAAAAAAAAAAATATTACTTTTTACAATAAAAAATTTAATTTAATTATATTTTCTATTTAAAATAAATAATATATATTTATTTTGTATCCACATTTCCTTGCATAAATTTAATTCATCATGAAAATCAAAATATGATGATAAACATAAAATAATATGAGTTAATTTTAGTTTCACCAAGTATTCCGTAAATAAAATATTCATATTTAATTTACACCCTGAATTTTTTATTTTTTTTATTGTAATGAAAGGTAGTCAACTTAATCGAATGTTTAGGAATTAATTTTGTTTTAAATTGGAATTAGTTAGGTTCATGAACCTTTAAATTTTTTATAACATAAAATTTTGAATTTTAGATAGAAATTTTTTAATTAAATCTTAATTTGAAATTTTTAGAATATTAATAGCAACTTTTTGAAAGAAAATAGAAACAAGTCATAATTTTTCTCAATAAAATGAAAAATAAAATCTTACTAGATATATCTTGTTATCAAAAAAAAATTTAAAATATATAAGTGATAGCATATTTAGTTACTTGTGTGAATTGAACTCAAGACGAGTGAGACTTATGGACACACCAACACCAACAAAATAAGCTAATTTATGAAATGTTCAAATATAATATTAATATAGTAATATTTCTTCATTCTAGGTAAATAAAATTAAAATAAATTAAATCAAACCACGCCATTTGCGAACTACTTTCTTCCTCATATGTTTTTTATGTTCTTTTCAAAAAACCTAAAGTTCATCATCTTCACTGCACTCTTTTACCTTCGCCGTCATCCTTCATCTTCCTCTACCATCGTTCAAGATTCATTACCTAGATGACGCAAATTCACATAATCGATCGCTGACACTACAAGAATTATGAGTTTTTTCCAACGCTTTTATTCTCGACGCTAGGCAAACATCTTTTTCCCGACTAAAGAATAATATTCGGGACTTTGCCGACTATTGACTAAGACAATCAGGAAAGGAATACATTCTCGACACTAGGTGAAGTTACTCTTACCAACACTTTTGTATAATAGTCGAGTAAAATTTTGTTTTTATATATTACCACTCCCGACGATTTTTGAAATAATCGGGAGAGGTTTATATTACCGACTATTTTATTACATAGTCGGACAAAATTTGTTCTTAATTTTTTTTTAAATTACCACTCCCGACTATTTTTAGACAAAAGTCTAATAGTGGACTTTACACCAATATTTTAATAAATTGTTGGGCGTTAACTTCCCGACTATTTTCGAAATAGTCTAGAGATATTAATATTCCCGACCATTCTAAAATAGCGTCGGTAATATTTTTTTAATTTTTTTAAATATTACAACTCCCGACTCTTTTGAGAAAGAGTTAGGAAAAACATATTTTTCAAATTATTTTAATAATTGTCGGGCAATATTATTTTAATTTTTTTTAAATATTACGACTCCCGGCTATTTTGAAAAATAGTTGAGAAAAGTGAATCTAGCCGAATATAAAAGAGTATAGAGATATATTATTTATAAAAGTATCATTTTGTTTTTAAATTAAAAAGTTTTTTAAATTTTTGTTTTTTAAAATAATAAACCAACGAAAGTTTTTTACATTTGTTTACATAATAAAAAAATTGCATCCTACCTATTAATAAAATGTCCGGAGAAGAGACTAAAAATACATAATCTCATTTTTCTTCTCCCTCAAAGTCTCTTCCTCTCCTTCTCTTTCAAAGCAGCACCAATATCGTCGCCCAGCCCCACCGCCGTCGCCCAGCTCCGTCATTCTATCATCCGCCGTCCAAGGTCGGCCGCCCCTCCAATCCTCCATTCCTTCTTCCTCTCTGCCAACCTAGCCTCTCCATTCAAATTGCAAGGCACAACCATAGAAATCGTTGATTACAAGCTTCAGAAGTTGAATTCATCTATTTCTCCTCCTTTCTCATGCCTTATTCATGCAAATCAAGTTCAGTTTGTTCTGTTCTAGGTTTTCTCATTTGATTTACGATTATTTACGATAATTTGGCCTTCAATCCTATCTTCGTTTTGGGAATTTATGGCAAATCAGTTGCTATATTATTTTTTTGGCTGAAAAATTTCACTACAAGAATTACCCAACTCAGATGAACATTTTCTTGCATGTTTGGATTTGAAGTTTTTCGCCCCATATGAGTCGTTCCAGCAATTGATTTTCCTGTGCCTAAATTATGTTGGACGTGGATTTTACTGGAATTGATTTATTTGAGAACAGTCGAGGAATTGAGATGAAAATTGGAATGCGCATAATTTGATTTGATTTTTTTTTTTTTGCTTCTGAAAGCTTATATGAATTGCGTATATGGCGTAAAAGTAGCAGTACATCTTCTCCTGTCGGTAATTTCATATGGCGCTGTGGTATCCTAACTCATTAATTTGATCCTGGTCACTGTTTTATTAATGAAAATTAGCTCATGGAAGTGTGTTTCTTTAATTAATTTGTTTTGGCTATCTGTTCCTCTCATTTCCCTCGTCGAGACTCTGTAATAAATGCATTAAGTTAGAGGTACTTTTACGTATGGAGTCMATATCTTTCTTTCTGTTTTGTGGGGATTGCATTTCAATTATTGAGCATAAATTTTGATCCAAACTAGTGACCTATAATAACTCATCAATTAGGTTTTGTTTTTTGTTTCAAAATTGATTCGAAGTCCTAAAGTACTGTGATAATGCCATCATTATCTCTCTCAATAATCAAAGGCAAGAAGTGTAGAGTTAAATTTGAAGTATCTTAGTGAAGTGAGGCTGCCTATGATGGATAATTATTACCTATAATTAATCAACCACACTTTTTCAATTCTCTTTTTCTATCTTTCTTTTTTTAATTTTATCTGTCTCTTTTTGCTAATCGAGAGAAATAAAAATTGGATGGATGGATGAATGCTTTTCTAAGGGGTAAATGTGGTTGATAGAAATAAACATGTTTGTCTTTTCTTTTTCTTTAAATCTTGATAAGTTGGAGAGCTTTTATTTAAGTTTCATGAAATTCCAAGATTTTATGACCTTTCGCGACGTTAAAAAAATCGTAATAAAGAATCCGACATCTGTAAATATCTATTGTTTCACTCSAAAAATGCACTCAAGATTTTATGAAAGTTTTTAAATAAAATAAAATTTATAAATGACATTCACTTCTCGCAACGTTTAAAAAATGTCATAAATTGATTAAAAAAAATGAGTATAAATAGAGAAAAATTTTCTCGTCAAAAACACGGCTCACCATTTCATGACATTTAAAAAACGTCCTAAATGACAAAAAATTTAGCGGTATTTATGTTTTTCCACCAAAAAACATGCTCTACCMTTTTCCTGCCAAAACAATAGACTCACCTTTTATTGACGTTTTTTAAGCGTCACGAAAAAAAGTAGTTTTCAAACTTTTTTGTGACATTTTTGAAACGTCATGAGAAAGCAAAATATTTGGAAAGCTCGTCTTTTCCCGCCAAAAAYGCGCCCTCACCTTTTTGTTACATTTTTTAAACGTCACAAAAACTATAATCTTTCAATCTTTCGAGACGATTTTTAAACGTCGCAGGGCAAAAATTTGGAGAATCCTTTCATGACGTTTAAAAAACATCACAAAAAAAGCGTGTTTTCTTCCAATATTTTGTGATGGTCAAAAAACATCACAAAAGTCCAAAAATCCGAAAAAAAACTCCGTCTTTTCCTACCAAAAATGTGCCTTACCCATTCGTAACGTTTTTGAAACTCCACAAAAAAGCCTCAAATTCTAGTAGTGTACACTACTTCTAACAAGGGCGGAAAAGTTAGTAGAGAGATTTAATGATGAGAACTAAAAACTTAATCATGCCAATTCTATATAGCTTTTCCATTTGAAACTTTAAATTTAAAATACATTTAAAAAAAAATAAGTAAAATCTTTGACCTACATATTTTGTGTTATAAACTCATTCTATTTTTATTAAATTTAAAACATGTAAAACACAAATATTATAAAATAATACAAAATTGGTAACATATATGTTAGGAGTTAGCATTGATTGGGCAAAGTTAGTTTTTTTTTTTTTTGCCAAAACCATCAAAACCAACCAAGTTGATTGACCAAAGGGTCAGTTCAATCCATCGATCGGTTTAGTCGATTTTACTACTTTTAATTTTTTTCAAATTACTTTTTTTTAATAATTTTATTTCCAATCCTACTCAAAAAGAGAAGTCGCTCTACACAAATGATGCCCACTATGACAATGACCGGCATTGGCATTGGGGGTTGCGACACTATTAAAGTGTGAAGCATGAAGAAAAAAAATAAAGATTTAACTTGGAATTTGGAGGTAGAAAGCAAAAACCTTCAAAGTTTGAAAAAAAAACAAAAAAAAAAGAACTGAAAGAAAGAAGAATGGTGAAGAGTGGACAGCACACACGATGGAGAAAAAAAAAAGATATAAGGGAAAAGGTCAGAATAGGGTAAGAGGCTAGTAACAATTGAATGGTTATTAAAATTAAAAAAGAAACCAAAAACCAGCAGATACTTTATTGGGGACTGTGAACTGCTGCAAGAGATGGTTTTTTTTTTCCAAATTTAGATCCTTTTTCAAGCACTTCGATTTCAAAACCGACCATCCATCAACCGACCTAATCTTTGTCAGTTTCGGTCAGTTAGTTCGGTTTTTCGAGTCCCTTCACTCACCCTTAATATACGTTAATAAATAAGCTAATAATATTTAAGATTTAACATAATATTTAGTTGATAACTCTCACTAATTTACAAATATACTACTCTATACACAATCCATTGAACAATTGTTTAAATTGAGATTCAATTTTCAAGTCAGATACAAAATCTATTAAAAAACGTTGAAAATCTAGTATAAACTCTGATTTTAATTAAATCCCTTAATTTCAAAATTCTGTTTTCTAATAGCCAATCAAACCAAATGCACCATTAAGTATCAACCTAAAACATAATTCAGTGATTTTCCTCTAAAAGGAACAATACATCCCTCTTGATAGATAAAATTCCCTCTCACCAACCAGTATCACAGGTTGGATATCTCATCTTTCTAATAAAAACTAAAAATTTCAAGCAGAAAAATTGGTACATATTTGTGAGACGAAATAAAAAAGGACAAATTTTCTGTCTACAATTGGCAATTAGACAATTCTTAGTTCAGCCAACGCCAAAAAGAGAACCACAAAAGTGTATGTGTGAAGGCCTGTGTACACTAAATTCAGAAGCATTTTTCTCAACGATTAAAATGAAAAGCAGCTTACAAATCAAGACATCCAGAACTTCTGACCCAACAATTCACGATCTGCAGCAGGACCCTGAGTAGCAGCAATCTTCTGAATACGTGAAGAAAACTCTTCGGCCTGAGAGGAAGATTATGGTCAGAGCTCAATGCCAAGCTAATAATAATAAAATAAAAGTAGGACCCAAATGGGGATCTAAATGCATATTTCCTTAGAAATTTCTGGTAACTATTGTATTAGGAGCGTAATTGGAGAGGTACAAACATGAGTATGGATCGGAGAACCCTTCGAACTTAACGAGACCAAAGATATCACCTTCATCCATTTCCTTCTTTTATTTTGTTTTATTATTTTTAGTTCATTAGGGGTGGATAGATTCAAACTTCCAACCTTTAGGGGGATAATTGACAAGTTGGGTCATGCTCATGTCGGCTCATCCATTTTCCTTCCTGAAGAAATGATTACCGCTTTTAAACATCCAAGAGCCTTGACTAATGTAGAGTTCACCGAACTTTCTACCATTTTAGCCTTTCTTCTTTGATAAACTAGGGAGTCCATTCAACCCGCAAAACTAATGAGTTCTCTTTTTCCACTCTTGGTTAGTTTACTTGTGGACCCCAAGCGCTATTCTTGTTAGTTTCTCGAAATTATGATAATCCCAATGATTTAACTACCAAACCTTTTATTTTATTTTATTTTCTTTTTTCTTTTTAATGAGCCGGAGGAGGCATCGCACCCACCCAAGGCTTGGATACAAGAGACATCAAGGACTTTTAGTATTAAGCTACTAGAAGGTTCGAACTTGACAGCTCTAAGCAGGCATGACCAAGAGGCTTCAAACCCTTGCCAACAGGGCTGTCTTTGGGGGCTTACTAAACATAATTCTTCATCAATATTCTCAATACATCCAGATGCCTTTTAGACTTCTTTGGAATTTCCACACAACCATGTAATAATGTTTCTTGGGACCACTCTTTCCAACCTATCTGCTTTAACTTCAATCAGTACTCCCAAAACTTCATCAACTGCTTTTGCACAGCCCAAATTTTTTTCCTTTCCCTTTACCTCCTTAAAAAATAATCCATCTAGTTCTTCCAAAAATTTCCCTCAATGGATTGCATCAATTTAGTTACCAGAGCTTCAATCACCATTAATAGAAGCATCACAATCCAACAAATTTTGCTGCGAAGGATTGCCCATCACCTGCACCACGAGATCACCACAAGAAGGGATTTTGAGCTCAATTTTAACTGGCATGAATCCACATCCTCTTATCTTCTATACAAACTTACAGTAAACCAAGTTAATAGTTGAAGGAAACTCTCAGAATTTTGACGCAAGGCTTCAAGAATCCCTTTTCCAAACTACCAAAGCCAAAGGAAGGCCTCTCAAATTTATCCATCCATCGTAACAAGGGAATAACATACCCTTTCCTGTGCTTAATGGTATTCCATCCTTCGAACTTACACATAAGAACTGTCACCGATGCTTTTTATTTCCATAGCTTTGACCAATGGAAAGACGAGTCTTCCTTTCTCGTCAGAAACTTCCTTTACTGTCTTATCCCTAATATGAGAATAATGCAAAACCTTATCAAAATAATTTTGCATATTCCTTTCCTCCCATATATTTTCCTTCGTGGCTTCAAACTTCTTTAAACCGTCACAAATCAATCCCCATAAAATGGCCAAGCCATGTTTGTTAATCCCTACAAGAACAAAAATGCTTACTCTTTTATCAAGTGAGAAGGTAGACATTTCAGCATACCACCAATAGTAATTGAAAGATTGTTCTAACCTCATCACTCCATTTTCAAATCTAGATTCCATAACAAACTTAATTTCTGAAACGAATTAAAGAAGCTCTACTAGCGAACTTTTATTGTCCGGACACTGAACTAAACTTCAAGTCATCATGCATGGAGCGTGTTTCAGTAAAGGCAGTCAAGGAGCTCATTCAAAATCACACAACTAAAAGGGTCGTTGTATGATAGGAAGATTATATCATTAGCCAAATTATCTAGTAGTTTGAATATCTAGGAGGTAGAGGATGTGGCAACGTTCAAGGAGAGATCGTATGGTACAAGCAGAGCATGCATCAAATTGATCAATATGTGTTGGGCAGAACAGGAGCTTGATGACCTCTAATATAATTTCTTAATTATGTAATAATACAAATATCACTTATGTTTTTAATACAGACATTGAGTGCTATTAAGAAATTTATATAAAATTTAGTGATTTCTATGATATTCCTCAAATTTTCCATCAACATCTTTTTTTTTTTTTTAATAAGAAACTACGCTTTCATTGAGAAAAATGAAACAAGGAACAAGAAATACAAAGAGGGCCTACAAAAAGGCAGCCCAGAAGAAGGGAGCCCCCTAAAGAAAAGGGCTCCAATTCAAAAGAATGAATTCTAACGGATAATTACAAAAGGCCTCGGAAACAGAGCCCCATAACACAGTATTAAATCTAATGAGCTCCCAAACATAATCCACAGATTTCTCCACCCCCTAAACAATCTGTGATTCCTCTCCAGCCAAATGCACTAAAGAGTAGCCAAAAAACAAGCTTGCCAAAAGAAACGCCCCCTATCCCGAAAAGGAGGGTAGCACCTCCTCCAACATCGACCTACAATCCCTCGCACGGACCCATGTCATCCAAAACACCTAAAGAAACGAAAGCAAAGATCTTGCGCAAACTGACAAGTCCACAACAAATGCTCAACATCCAACATTTCAATGTTGAGCATCAACATTTCAAATTTTCCGAAGTACTAATGAATAGAATATATGACGTAAGTATGGGATCCTATTGTAACTGTTTAGTTAAGTAGAAAATGGCATGTATCAAGTGCTTGCTTACGTAGATGCATGGGCAGTATACCTTTGGCATGTTTGGGAACAACTGTCATTTTCTCCTAAACTTGTACTTCCCTAACCCTAAATCTATAATGGAATCTATCAAAAGATCTATGCTTTAAATATCTAAACCATTGAAACTCACTTTATGAACAATGATTTCAATATTGGATTTTTTTATGGACTATACTGGATGAATTGAAAGTGAATTTTTCTTTTAGTGGAACAATAATCACCTAAAAGCCTCTACGAAGAAGGATTGCCTTATTGCGGACTATTGGGTAGATCAATCTGAGTCTTGAGATATTGGTTTCAGAAGAAATTCGTTTGACTGGGAGATCAGTAGATGGGATCAATTTACAGAAAAGTTGGATCTTTTTTACATGGGGCAGGGGCATAGATAGATTGATCTGGAAAGATGGGGAAGGTGGTTCCTTCATGATTAAGTCTGCTTTCTACCTGCTAGGCTGAAAGCCCCAGCGGCCAATCACATTTGGAACTTCAGGACTCCAAGGAAGGGGAAATTCTTTCTTTGCTCGATGTTTTTTTGTTTTTTTGTTTTTTGTTATTTATTATTTTTTTTTTTGGTCATTGTTTTGGAAGAGCTTAAATACGTCAAAGAGACTTCAACGGAGCTATCCTCAATGGTCTCTCTCCCTCTGTTTGTAACTTGTGTCTGATCCTGTCTGTCCAATGAGGATCTTCACTAGACCATATTTTCCTACATTGCGATTTTGCTAAAAAAGTGTGGGCCCATATTCAGGGGGCTACAGGTTTTCTACGTGCTTGCCCAATAGGGTAGATGATTTGATTGCAGAAAATTTTGGAGGTGCGATGCTGAGAGGAAAGGCAAATATCTTATGGAATTGTGCAACCTGTCCTCTCTTGTGGATGAGTTGAAAAGAAAGGAATAGTAGACTTTTTGAAGGAAAACAGACTTGGGTGGATTCTTTTTGTGAAAATGTATAGTACACTTCTTCGTGGTGGTGTACAAACTACAACAAATTCTCTTGTAACTATAGCTTCAGTATGATTATAAGTGATTGGAAAGCTCTTATCACTTAGTGTGAGGGATACGGTGACCTCCACCCTTTGCCCCTAGGCTATATTCTACTTTTTGTGATTAATACATCTCCTTTTCTTCTCAAAAAAAATAATAATAATCACCAATGAGAAGAGTATTAATTAAATATTTTTAAGTAATTTAGAATTTTCATTGATGAGTGAAATTACAAAAAAAGGGAGTGTGTACCCCAAAAATCAAAGGAGTTACATGACACTTCTCCAATTGGTCAAAAGAGAAACCGCTATCAGTCAAATACTTTAAATGCTTTACACCAAGATATAGCAAGAAAAATGGTATTGTGAAACAGTCTAGCAAATGGGAGCTTCTTTTATGTGAAGAGTATATGGTTTCTTTCGTTCCAAAATGTCAAAAATAAGCTCGAAGGATGTGATTCCAGAGGATCGTCTTTTCTTTCTTGAAGGAACGAACCACAAGAAAATATGAGAGTAAAGTCTTGATATCAGTCGATAGAGCCACTTTCCAATCAAAAGCGAGTAATATCTCGTTCCAAAACAATGTTGCAAGGGAGCACATGAGGATAGGTGAGGCTGTGTTTCTCCATCTCTTTTACAAAGGTTGCAGCACTATTGGGGAGAGATTGCGAGATAGGGGAGCTTTTGTTGTAATCGGTCATGGGTGTTGATGGCCTCGTGAGATAGCTCCCATATGAAGAATTTAATCATTTTTGGGTAGACTTCACTCCATATTGCTTTAAGTAATTTAGAATTTTCGAAAATACTTTTGAAAAAGAAAAATAGAATTTTCAAAAATATGTTTTACCATATTGCCAAATATAGTGATTTTAAAAAGTCCTTTTAATTAGTTAAAAACACTTTTTACTATTTTAAAAATTTGTAATGCATAATAATATAAATCAAAATTCATACGAGCAATATACATTAATGATCAGTCTATCAATTTAAACTTCAAAAAGTCATGATATAATAAATAATAAATGGTTAATTATCTGCTCAAAAACATGAATTATTATATAATGCATAAATTGGTCTTATCAAAAGTTTACAACACGTCTTTGACACATAAGCTAACAAAATTATCAAGTCTCAGAAAAAATTTGGCTCAGCAACTTATACTAACTAAATATGGTTCTTTTTCTCATCATGATTTCACTATCTTAAAATCAACTCAAATATATTATTGCAAGCTAAATAGTTCACCAAGAGTAATGCAGTTTGATGAAGGTCTAATAACATAGAAAATGATGTAATCGTTTTTATACTTTGGAAGCTGAGATACTGAGGTCCTCATGGTTAGAAGAGGTTTCGCACATGGATAGATACAAGTATACAAGAGACACTAACCTTTTCATCGATCCACATTAAAGAACTTAATTGATTGTTCAAAATCCGAACAACTGCATCTAATGGTGTCATCCCATCAATCACATCAAGTTCTCCTCCCTAGATAAAAATAATAGATAAATAAATCATTTATTACCATGTAGAAAAAAATCCAAGGCAAGAAACGGAATCAATTGGCTGTTATTCTTTACCTGGTTTGCATTTAGGGTCTGAATGATTGATTTGATTTGCTCTGTCATCTGTTCTAGTTCCCGTTCTATATATTCAGCCTGTTCATACCTGCAACAAAATTAAAATTGAAAACAAGAGATTGCAATTTTAACCATCAGTGCAATGCTGGGAAATTTAAAATCTCCAGAGGAGCCGTTAGTTTCATGGGGATTTGAGATTCCTATGGGATGGGCATCCCGACTCTCGTGTTTGTTTGATAGGAATGTTGGATCCCGAGCATTTTTTATGCCTGCTGCCTGGCATCCTAGGACGCCCATACGGGAGCCATCTAATGGGGTCATCCCATCAATCACATCAAGTTCTCCTGCCACGTCCTGATCCGTGAAGTTTAGGCTCCGCATTCCAATTAAATCTATCAGAACCATATAGACTGGCCACCACCAGCGCCACAAAGCCTCCGTCTCCATGCTAAAACGCCATCCCCATTTGGATAATAATGCAATGTTATTCTTAAGAATGCAACAACCAATACCCAAACCACCAGCTTCATTGGAAAGTGTGTTTCATCACCCTTTTGTCTTTTTTTTTCTTTTTTTTAGGGAAACAAATTTCATTCATAGCATGAAATATACAAAAAGTCCTACCAATGAAGTTACAAAAAAACTTCTCAAATTGGATATTAGAAAACTTAAAATGTAACTATTGATAGGATTTACACTTTTGCACCAAAGATAATAGAGTCTATCATTTGTGGGAGCGAATGATCGGTATCCTTGAAAATTCTGGAGTTCCTTTCCTTCCATATGATTTAAATGAAAGCCCTATTGATGTTCAATCAGAGAAGGGCTTTTCTATTCTTGAAAGAGTGCAACAAAAAAATTGTCTCAAGCCAATCTGAAATGTTGTTTGTTAGGCACAAGCTCCAACCAAAAACTGTGAGGAAGAAGTTTCATCACCCTTTTGTCTTAGGTTCTATTATTCAACTAGGTTGATCTACGAACAAGGATAAAGTGTTATCTAACTAGTCAAAGATTTTTTTAAAATATTGTTCTTTGTAAAAACATTTCCCCTCTTACAAATTGTTTTCTTCGTATTGTTCCTTCATCTCAATTCAAACAGATACCTCTCATCTTGAGCTTCTTCCCCAATCAAACATCTAAACAAGGTAACTTGCTGAAAAAAATACACAAAGCGCTGACAAAGTTGGCTTTACATGCAAGGTTGATACCAAGTCCCAAAGATGTGTTTTTTATATAAAATCTAGCTTTCATTGAGAAATAGGAAAGAAAATACAAGGGCATACAATAAACCAGCCCCTCAAAAGAACCCGAAATCCCAAAGATAAGCGTTAAACTATCATTGACTTGACAAGATCCAATTTAGGAATTGAATACCATTACAACTTTTAACTTTTAAGATCCAAAAAATATCTATTTTAACATAAACATCAAATCAAAAAAATATCTTAAATAACAAACGTTATAACCAAGAACTTGTAAATATAGTAAAAAAACATAAAAGTTAGCACTCACATTGCATCCCTTGTTGATGCAGCTTCATCATCAAGAAGTAAACCACGTTCATCCTTGTAAATGCGCTCAGCATCTTCTTCCACGCTTAACAATGCCTTATCAACCTAACAATAGAATAGATGAATGCAATTGATTTATTAATTTGATAAGAATACATGCAATTGATTTATTAAAAATACATGCAAATATGTGCAATTCAAAAATTTTCAGTAATTTTAATGGTCTGAACTCACTTCCAGTTAAGCTAAGAACGTGTCTTCTAAAAGAGCACACTTTGTTAATAAAGAAACAGAAATAAAAATAAGACACGTCAATGTTAGGCATGCATAAATCCTTTTTGGAAAAAAAAGCTTTTGTGGATGAACTTTACAAGAGCATTCAATGGGTAACTGAGTGAGAAAGAAAGCAAAGAATCTTCAAAGAAAATGAGCTATCTTTTGCTCGATTATTTGACACTATAGTTTGTTTGGTAGTTTCTTGGTGTAAATGTTTCCTATGTTTCATCAATAAAGTGTTTCTTCCCTATTATCTAATTGGAGAAGTTTTTTTATCAGAAACATGGATGTGATTGTATTGATAAATAAATAATAGTCTAAAGGTCAGGGAATGAGAGAGCCTCCGCCTGACAAATTCTAGTAAAAGGTCTGCTTTCCAATTCCGAATAAGCACCGTAAGACTGTAGTTACAACTTACAAGAAAACTCCTTGTGGTTTAAGCACCAAGAGGAAGCAGTAATTTGTACACAATTCCAAAAGAATCAAAAGAATGAGAGGAGTTGTTAAAAACCCGGCTATTCCTTTCTTTCCATAAGCTCCACAAAAAATGGCTCTAAATGTACACCCCCAAAAAGTCTTTGCGTTACCTCTGAAGGAGCAACCCTGTAGGACTTCAAAAAGCCAAACTTCAGTCACCTTAGGCACACAACCCACATAATCGAAAAAGTTGAAGCAGTAGGACCATACCGCCATGGTAAAAGGACAATGAAGGAAAACATGGTCCATGGTTTCAACCGCCTTGTAACAGAAACAGCAAACCGAGGGCGAGCAGCACTATTTTTTCAGTTTTTTCTGCAAAACCTCATGAGTATTAATGCTTCTGTAGGCTAAACTCCAATAAGAACACTTTGACTTTCTTTGGGTATTTGAAACTCCATGTCTGCCTTATCAAAGGAACTTTCAATTTAGGAGAGCACTCAGTAAGTTTGTGGAAAAGTGAAGAGGTAGAGAAGGAAAGCTTGCTGTCCAAAGCCCAAAAAATCTGGTCATCCTCTCTGCCCAAATATACAGCACCTAGAACTTCCATCGAAGAGAGAAGGCTATCTACTTCCGAGTCACGGAAACCTCTTCGAAAACTCAAGTTCCAATCTGATTGAACTTCATCCCAACAATCAGCCACAGAAGCCTCTTTCTTGAGGAAGAGATTGTACAAATCTGGATATATAAGGTCTAAGGCCGAGCCAAGCATCCTTCCAGAACCGAATTCTTTGTCCATTCCCAGCCTTATAAACAAATAAAACTTAGATACGACTCACTTAGCTTTGGACAATTTTTGTGTGACTCCATGGATAGGATTTCTTCATATTTTCTAATTTCTTTTTTTTTTCTTTTATAACCGAGAGTCGAAGCTTTGCTCCCCTATACCCAAAGTACCCGCACCTGCGTCCGCTCTAAGACCCGAACTCAAGAGACATCAAAGGTTTTTTTGTATTAAGCTCACCAAAGGGAAGAAACAACCTAAAGGCATAGGGTCAAGATTACCCTCCAGTAAAAACAATACAATCACTTTTTTCCATCATTCAGGATCATTTGTAGACTATAATTACAAAAACTTCTCCCCAATCATGGTTTCGGCTTAGGAAACCAAACTCAAACCCCAAGTAGCCTAGGACAGTTCAAGTGTTCAACCAAGCAAGATATTCCATAACAACAGAAAAATGGATAACTTCGACTTTTCTCAGCTTTCCAGAAAAATAGACCTTTTTTGGGTTGAAAATGCCTATCTACTTTGAATTATCTCCCCAGTAATAACATCTTAAAGAAATAAAGTCCACACAAAAAATTTACCTTTTTAGCATCTTATGTTTCCAAATAAAATTCACCAAGTTACTTGGCTTAATTTCACATTTGTTCAACAATCTCCTAAATAGTTATTTAAACAAAAATTCCCCTAATGAAAAGATGCTAAAAGAACAAAAAGACAAAAAAACAAAAGTTCCCCTAATGACATTTAGGAGATTTTTCTTTTCCTCCATTTCATATATCAATGAAAAGTAGTTTCTTGTTAAGAAGACAAAAGTTCTCCTAAATGATGATTTAATAGGAACCAAAAATAAAAACAATAGATAGGGCACGTATGAAAGAACAGATTATAAACAATGGGAAGTTCCCCTCCCTGCAAAGAAAATGATGACATTTTTTCCACTTAACAAACCTTCCTAACACCCTTTTTTCAACCATAAGATTCCAAAGAATGGAGGAATTTTAGTCCAAGAGGCATTCCCAAATAATAGAGAACAAAGCCCCACTATAAAGCCAATCTTATTAGGTTCAAGAAAAGCCTCCAGACGATCAACATTAATATACCTGATGGAATAGGTCTGTTCAGGCTAACCTTCGCATCTCCTCACCCTCAAAAATGTTAAGAACGCTAAGAACTGCCTAACTCAAACATCCTCCGTCCTCATAGGATCCAAAAGTTGGACAACATCAACAGATTGCAAATTATTTTAACTTGATCCTCCTAATATCAAACTCAACAGCCTCAATTGCTAGTTCAGGACACCTATCTGGAGTTGTACACCCCGTAGATCAACATTAGATAGAGAACATTGATAGGTCAATTATCCTAAAGCATGCACAAGAAGAGTCATATTGACAAAAGATGCATCACCTCCCTCCCCAGAGCAAAAAATATCATGCTATAAGTATCTATGGAAGGACAAAGGCACACAAGGCCATAGGTGAATACCTCTTGTTGGTGAGTTTCAATCAGCTCCAATTTCCTCTCCAGCTCAGCTTGGGTCTCTACCACCTTTGCAACTTCAATCTAATTTCAAAATCAAGACATTAGAGCAATATAGCAATAAATCTTTTTTTTTTTTACATTTAGACAGAGATAGATAGAACCCTCTTCTGTTCTCTTTTGTATATTTCTCCTTATCAAGGAAACATTTGTTTCTCATCAAGAGAGAGAGAACTTCTTGATAAAATAAAAATAAAAACATAATAAGAGTTCAAGATAACGGATTGCAATCAATGAAAAAATAAAGAAAGATATATGAGAATCCTTAAGATGTAAACAGGTCTTGCGAGGAGGACCGATGCACTTTGATGCTTCCCTTCGCATCAAGCTCTTATGAAACATTCCTTTGCTTTTCATTACCATTGGACTTTTTATTTTTTTGTTTTCTAGGGACTTTTTCTTGGGCTTTTGGTTTGTCGTTTTTGTAAGGCCTTCTTTTGTACTCTCATTCTCTTGGATGAAAATTGGTAATTTTTTGGGAGAAAGCAAGAAAAACTATCTTCAGTGATGGATTTTCTTAGATAAAGCAAGAAACAAGGTTATCTTTATTGTTGGTTTTGGGCAGATTAGAAATAACTTATTGGAACGTGTGCTTATGGAAATTTGGAAGGAGAGATAGTGAGTTTGATATTCTTTTTACCTAGTCATTTATGTTACTTCAGATTTGTGTATCTTCTCAAAAAGGACTCTCACTCTTGTAAATATTTCCTTTTCCTCATTTATGCTAATTGGGCTACCTTTCCATAAGCTCCTTTGACTAGTTTCTCTGTTACAACTTTTCATATTCTTTAAATGACTTCATTTATAAAGAAAATTTAGATTCAATTCAGAAAAGAAACATTGAAGGAAGATTAAACTGAGCATTGTACCGAAAAAAGCAGGGAAGAAAAGAATAAACTAAGGATGTGGACACTTGAATTCAAGACTTTCCAGAAAAATAAGCTAAGAGCAAAGCCCGTGCATATTAGGACCCTATGGAAGAGGCAGGGTGAATGAATGGTACCTATGAACCCAAAGAAATAATCCAAAAATTTAGCATTCACAAACTAGAAAATCCTTTTGCTAATAATTTGCACATGTTTCATTAGAACAGATATTGTGGCCTATAAAATTTCATATCATTCAAGGTCAAAAATATTGAAATCATGAGACATAACACCTCAAGTCTAAGGAGTATATCACGATTTTGCAAAATCCTCCTATCCCACTCAGCAATAGCATTGGCCTGCTTCCGAAACTTCCCAGTACGCTCTTGAAGCTCCGCATTCCACTCTTTGATGATCTATAAATAAATTAAAGAAAATAGCAAGAGGCATAAAATAAAAACAATTACTAAAATAGGTAAAAGACTAGACAATGTTGGAGACACACATTGTATGTGGATTCAGTGAACAAGGCAAGAACAGGATATACAATAACATTTAGAAACAGGAAATTTTTATAACTTAAACTAAAAGAGAAGTACTTCCCTGGATAAAATGGAACAATTGCAACACAAGTTTTTGAAGACAGTTTCATTGCTAGATGCATCATTTTTAGAACTTGAGTACATAACCTATAGAAAGATCTTGTTCAAGTAAGGTCATTACTAGATGTGTGATTAAGCCATCAATTTATTTCTTATATGATTACTATTTCTTGACTTAGACAAGAACATTAATATCCTTTACCGTATACCCAATACCCTAACAATAAGTTTTCTTCTCTTTTTTCCATCCAGACACAAAGAAATTTGCACTAGAAGATGTTAGTACATAAAAACGGTAGGAGATAAGGTATCCCCACCAAAACAAGGAATTACTGAAAACTTCTCAATTAATTAAAAGAAAAATAGTCAGAAAATTTCCAAAAGGACACCAACTAGAAGCTAGCAGATGAACCAACCCATATACTCCCCTAGGTCCATGACTGTCTTAAAAGATCGTACCATTTTGTTAGGCCCCCAATTATAAAGACTTACCATAGAAAGGGCAAAGGGGTAATTGTGGGGGGAGAGGGCCCTAACGGCCAAGAGAGAGAAGTGGGGACCAGTGGGAACATGAACATGTAAGGGAAAGGGCTGTCACCTATAAGGCCAGGGGAATGTTGGGATGAGGGGATCATTCTAAACTTTTGTGCTTTTGCAGCTTTTGTTGGTAGGGAGAGATTACCCACCCTCTCGGATTGGTGGGTCTGTTTTGTGCCTACGAGCTTCTTGTTCTTGCTTTGTATTGCCTACGGGCTTAATCGGAAGGAGTAAAAGCAGTTGTGGGGGGCTGTTACCTCACAAAGTGGTATCAGAGCGCGTCGATTCCGGGAACAATGACGGTCAAAGAGCTGGAAACCAGGTGTGAAGTGGTGGAGAAGGATGTTGCAGACATGAAGATCCAGATCACGTCGCTGCACCAAGACTTCGCAGAGCAAAAGAAGGTGCTCCAGGAGGTCAACGTGACGCTGAAAGCATTCATGGCTCAAGTTATTGGGGGTACCTCAGCATCTTTGTCGATGGTGACTGGGGAAACTTTGGTGACAAAAGGAAAAATGGTAGAAGGGGAGAACCCAGAAAAAGAAGATGGAAATAGGGGGACGGATAAAAATCGCTTCAAGAAGGTAGAGATGCCTATCTTCGCGGGTCCGGAATTGGAATCGTGGATATTCAGAGCGGAGAGGTACCTCGAGATACAGAAGCTGAAAGATGATGGTTGCTATCATCAGCTTCGACGGCATCGCTCTGGCGTGGTATAGGTACACGGATAACCGCGAGAAGTTTCGTGACTGGAACGATCTCAAAGGACGCCTCAGGGACCGATTCCATCCGGCGAAAGAAGGGAAGCAGTGCGCGCGGCTGTCATCTATCAAGCAAGAGGGGACGTTCGCGGAGTACCGACAGCTGTTTGAAGCGTTAGCCGCCGCCCTCCCTCAGCTCTCCGACGAGGTATTGGAAAGTGCATTCCTAAATGGACTGGATCCAGTGATGCGAGCTGAAGTTCGGGCCCTAGAACCCAACGGCCTGTACCAGGTAGTCCGCAAGGCCCAACTTATTGATGATATCAATACTGCCAATAAGGAAGCGGAGGGAATTATGACCGTTGAGAAAAGCCAAAGTGGCCCAAGCGCGTTCAAAACGGCCACCAAAACCCTAGAGGTAATCCCTACTCGCACTGTTACTCTTTCTAGCAAACAACCTAACCAAACTAAGGGAACCGGAGCGTCACAAGCAGCTAAGAAGGAACCACCCTTCAAAAAGCTATCGGAAGCAGAGTTTCAGAAAAGAAGGGAGCGAGGCTTGTGTTTCCGCTGTGAGGAGAAGTATACTGTGGGCCACAAGTGCAAGAACAGAGAGCTCAGAGTTTTTGTTCTGCACGACGACGAGATGTTCGAACTGAAGGATGAGATGCAACAAGAGGACGCATCAGGGGAGAAGGGAAATAGTGAAACCCAAGCCGTCGAGTGTCAACTTAATACCATTGTGGGGATCTCTACCCCTGGAACAATCAAAGTTAAGGGGGTGATACAAGGGCGTGATGTGGTAGTACTGATAGACTGTGGGGCAACCCACAACTTCATCTCCCTCACTTTGGTTGATGAACTGAAGTTGGCAAAAACAGAAACACTCAACTATGGAGTGATAATGGGCTCGGGGGCAGCGGTCAAAGGGAACGACGTCTGCAAGGGGATTGTCTTATCATTACCAGAACTTACGGTGATGGAAGACTTCCTTCCTCTGGAATTGGGGAAGTTAGATGTAGTCCTGGGGATGCAGTGGCTCCAAACAATGGGAAAAATGGAAGCAGACTGGCCGACTCTTACACTACGTGTCGACAGAGGAAAAAAGAAAATAACTATCAGGGGGGATCCTACGCTAGCACGCATCGAGGTCTCAATGAAGAGGTTGGCTAAACAATAGGCGGCTCGAGACCAAGGCTTTTTGGTGGAGATGAGGGCGCTCAATGCAGCTGAGGAGGGATCAGTGGAGGCCCCAGAGGAATTACCCCCGGAAGTAGAGGGACTCATTCATGGCTACTTGGATATCTTCCAAAAACCCGAGGAGCTCCCACCCCACATTCCTCTAAAGGAAGGGCAAGGTCCAATCAATGTTAGGCCACACCGATACGCACACGCTAAGAAGGAGGAAATTGAGAGCCTCATCAGTGAGATGTTGGAAGCGGGCATTATCAGACCTAGTGTAAGTCCTTTTTCGAGCCCGATGATCTTGGTTAAGAAGAAAGACGGTAGCTGGCGTTTCTGTGTGGATTATCGCGCATTGAACCAAGCAACTGTTCCAGATAAGTTCCCTATCCCTGTGGTGGAAGAACTACTCGACGAACTACATGGCTCTATGATCTATTCCAAATTGGACCTTCGTTCGGGTTATCACCAAATCAGCATGGCAGAGGAAGATAAGCACAAGACTGCCTTCCAGACACATGAGGGACATTATGAGTTCCTAGTGATGCCCTTTGGCCTCACCAACGCCCCATCCACTTTCCAAGCATTGATGAACAACATATTCCGACCCTTCCTTCGCAGGTGCGTGTTAGTATTTTTTGATGACATCTTGGTGTATAGCCCTGATTTGCCAACTCACCTCACCCATTTAACTATGGTCTTTAATCTGCTGAGAGATAATTCTCTCTTTGTGAATCTAAAGAAGTGTCAGTTTGCTGTGAGCCGTGTGGAATATCTGGGGCATTGGATCTCTGCAAAAGGGGTTGAGGCAGATCCTTCGAAAGTCGCGGCGATGATTCAGTGGCCACTACCAACCAACATTAAGGAACTCAGGGGGTTCTTAGGGCTCACTGGCTACTACAGGAAGTTTGTTTCCAACTACGGGACGATAGCCGCCCCCCTAACTCAGCTATTGAAGAAAGATGGGTTCCGATGGACGGACCAAGCGACAAAGGCTTTCGAGTCATTGAAGAAGGCCATGATCACATTGCCGATATTGGCATTGCCTGATTTCACCATCCCCTTTGTAATTGAGACATATGCTTCGGGAACAGGGTTGGGAGCAGTTTTAACCCAGAATCAACGGCCAATTGCTTACTTCAGCCACACTCTATCACTTCAGAATCAGGCCAAGTCGGTATATGAAAGGGAATTGATGGCAGTTGTTATGGCAATTCAAAGATGGAGGCCTTACCTGTTGGGCCAGAAATTCATTGTCCGCACAGATCAACAGGCCCTTAAACACTTGCTAGAACAGCGAATCATCCCTCCTGAATACCAGAAGTGGATCTCCAAGCTACTGGGATACGATTTCGAAATTCAATACAAACCGAGGCTAGAAAACAAGGCCGCAGATGCTTTATCAAGAATGCCAGCCACCCCTGCCCTAGCAGTTCTATCAGCACCCGCAGTACTAGATGTGGAAGTTGTCAAACGAGAAATCGCTGAGGATCCACACTTCTCCAAAGTGTTGGCGGATCTGGAGGATGACCCAGAGGGCATGGAGAAGTACCATGTACAGCACGGGACTTTGTATTACAAAAATCGGTTGGTAATCCCCCGCACCTCATCTCTCATACCAGCGATCCTACAGATGTACCACAATTCAGTGGTAGGCGGGCATTCAGGTTTTCTCAGAACCTACAAACGACTCACGAGGGAACTCTTCTGGCCAGGGATGAAGGAAGATGTGAAAAAGCATGTGAGTGAATGCGAAGTGTGTCAAAGACACAAGACCGAATCGTTGGCCCCAGCTGGATTGCTCCAACCTCTGCCCGTACCAGATCGCATATGGGAGGATGTCACTATGGATTCCGTGGAAGGATTACCCAAATCCTTGGGAAATGACACGATCCTGGTGGTAGTAGACAGGCTAAGTAAATATGGCCACTTCATTCCACTATGCCACCCTTTCTCAGCCAAGATAGTAGCAATGGCTTTCATTAAGGAGATTGTAAGGTTGCACGGGTTCCCTAGGTCTACAATTTCGGATAGAGACAAGGTCTTCATCAGCCATTTCTGGACAGAATTATTTAGATTGCAGGGAACCACTCTGAAACGAAGCACTGCTTACCACCCCCAAACTGATGGGCAAACAGAAAGAGTTAACCGATGTTTAGAAACATACTTACGTTGTTTCTGCAGTGAGAAGCCAAAACTATGGGGGAATTGGCTGGCATGGGCGGAGCACTAGTACAATACCACCTACCACAACTCTCTGGGTTCCACGCCTTTCCAAACAGTGTATGGACGGGCCCCACCTCCCCTGATTTTGTATGGCAGTCAAAAGACGACAAATGCTACACTAGATCAGCAAATGATAGAAAGGGACATGGCGTTAGATCGTTTGAAGGAACATCTGTTGAAGGCCCAGGATCGTATGAAGAAGCAATCCGATAAGCGACGCAGAGAGGTCGAGTTTGTTGAGGGGGACCTCGTGTACCTCAAGGTACGTCCTTACAGACAGTTATCCTTAGCTAAAAGAAGGAATGAGAAGCTAAAGCCCAAGTTCTTCGGGCCCTATACCATTCTGCAACGTATTGGGAAGGTCGCCTACCGCCTAGACTTGCCGGCCGAAGCTCGCATACACCCCATCTTTCATGTCTCGCAACTCAAAAAGGCCATTGGAGCAGCCACGGCAGCTCAGTTTATTCCTCCTCAACTGACCGAGGAGTGGGAATGAATGGTGGAACCTGATTCAGTGTTTGCTTATCAGACCAATCCCACCACGGGAGAAGCCGAAGCCTTAATCAATTGGAAAGGTTTACCGGAAGAAGAAGCAACCTGGGAGTCTGTGCGCGACATCAGCCGACAATTTCCTGAGTTTCACCTTGAGGACAAGGTGACAGTTGAAGGGGGGAGTGATGTTAGGCCCCCAGTTATAAAGACTTACCATAGAAAGGGCAAAGGGGTAATTGTGGGGGGAAAGGGCCCTAACGGCCAAGAGAGAGAAGTGGGGACCAGTGGGAACATGAACATGTAAGGGAAAGGGCCGTCACCTATAAGGCCAGGGGAATGTTGGGATGAGGGGATCATTCTAGACTTTTGTGCTTTTGCAGCTTTTGTTGGTAGGGAGAGATTACCAACCCTCTCGAATTGGTGGGTCTGTTTTGTGCCTACGGGCTTCTTGTTCTTGCTTTGTATTGCCTACGGGCTTAATCGGAAGGAGTAAAAGCAGTTGTGGGGGGCTGTTACCTCACACATTTCTTCTAGGCATAAAAACCAACAAAAAGCTCCATAGAAATTCCACTAAAGAACCAATGCCTTGACAGCTCAATATAGCCCAGCACAAGCTTCAAGAAGAAAATCCACAGTGCTCTTAAGCATACACCAAGCATGGTCAAAAGAGCAAGAAGCCCATCCATGAGCAAGATGACCAATATTCTCGGCACTAAACTAACACAAACACGCCATCACTGGTAATGAGGTATGTGCTGATTCCTTTTCTAGACTCAGTTTACACTTTTGTTACACCCCATGAAGAACTATTTGATAAAATTAGACCACTAAAACGCACAGTACAGAAGTTGGATGCCATAATCATGAAAAAATAGCAATTTAGTAGTACCTCTTCAACAGTCTTCCCAGTTATCTCTGATGGTAATTTTGGTGTAGTAGACACTGCAGCGCTAACTGTTGAAGTTGTTCCACTGGATAAAAGGAGGGTCAAGGAGATGGAAAATCTAAATCATTGAATTCCTCATAACAACCATTTCAACATAGAGGTATTAATGTATAGTGGAACGAGTTAATAGAGCTTTCACATAGTAGAAATGCAGCATTTCTAGATTATATTTTTTAACGATGCATAAAAAACTATTTCTTTAAAAAAAAGGAGAATAAATTTTTCAAAATCTCAAAGACAGAACAAACATATTAAGTTATAACTAATAGCTCAAATGCATGGCCTTACTCCCTCTATAGATAACATTCAAAAAGAAGAAAAGATGAAGAGAATCAAAATCCAACCTAAGGATGATGAAAACAAATAATATAATCCATGCTCCCTTGATAGACAAGCCACAAGCTTTTTCTTATAAATGTAGCAGACACTAGAAAAGTAGCGGGACCACGTACAGACCTACTACTGGATGCAACAACAAGAGTTGATGAAGTCTGACTCTGACTTGGAGCACTAAAACCAGACGAAGTGGTAGCAGCAGTGGAAGCAGAAGGGAGAGAAGGAAAACCTGTAAAGAATAAACACAAAATTATGTAAAAACAGGCACATTAAAAAAGTACTGAAGCTATATCATAAACTTCACCAACCACACATTTATGTGGTTTCAAGATGCTTAGATACTTTTCATATACATTAGTAATCTAATAGAAGTCTGTTACTCATACAGTAGTAATTTGTGAGGTTCGCTTTGGAGAAGTATCCTTGGGGTAAAACTACTAGGTCCATGAGTTTTTTCAAAAGTTCGTTGAAAAGTGTGGTTTGTCTGATTCCCCACATAAATGCTAGATTTACTGGGTCAAATCTGCCCCACAGTGTGGAATGTCAAGATACTTTTCTAGTGTCTAAAAGGTGGCTGATTAGTTTAGAGGTGTCAGATCACTAGTCCATCTCTGTCTCTGTCTCTGTCTCAAACTTACTTCTAATTATTGACCTCTTAGTTTCTTTACCAAGAATGTCAAGTGGGAGACTTGGTCCAATTCAATTAGAAAATGTGTGGCTTCAACATGTCTCTGTAAAGGTCTCTCTATGCATGAATGGTGTAAAATTGATGTTTGAAGATGAGAGGGGTTTAGATGCATACAGAAACTAAAATCATCAAATCTAAACTGAAAGTCAAGAATCTAGAGGTAATCAGGGTTTTTAGAGTTCAAAAGCAGGGATTTTTAATATACTTAAGGATTTAGATGAATTGGATTCTTCTGGGAGTCCAATTGAGAATTTAATGGATGGACGTGTTGAACTTAGGGGAGATTTTGGTTCCAATCAAGTTATGGTTATTCTATTAGAAATTTCAATAGCGTATTTCTATCCATTTCCCTTCTGATTTATGGTTCCTGTCAGGCTTCCAATTCCATTTAGGAAGTTAAACCTAAAATTTTCAACATCAAGGCTCTAAAGATCTAAATAAAGCAAAATCCAAACCAAATATGGGGAGAATTACCCAAAAAAAAAAACCCTTTATAACTAACCAAACCCGAGGGCATCCATAGCAAAAACCATTGGGTAAACAAACCCATTTTCTCTCACTAAGGTACAAGCTAAATAGCTCTACTAAATCTACCATACACCTCAAAATACAAAGTGCCAACACTCTTATGTAATAATGCTTAAACATGTCAGATGCATAAACTAAAGAATCCAGTTTTTACCTTTTTTTTTGTAGGAAGCTAAGCTCTCATGGAGAATCATGAAAGAATATAGAAGGCCATACGAAAAAACAGCCCAAACCTAAAATAATGGCCTTCATCAATCCAACATAATAACACCTAACTGATAATTACAAAAATCTCTAGAAATAGCAGCCCATAAATAAATATTGAATCTAATAATATCTCAAACATCCACCCAAGAACTCTCGACTCTACTAAAAGTTCGATTGTTTCTCTCAATCCAAATACCCTATAAAACTATGAAGAAATAGGCTTGTCAAATAAATTTGCCCTTATTTGTGGATGCAGCTCAAATTAAAAACTCTTCAAAAAAAACCAGCCAAAAAAGACTCCTCCCAACAAACAAATTTGAAAATGAAACTCCTTTCTCTCCCAACAAACCTACTCCTTAAGCACTATCCACTCCACCTATTCCATTCATTCAGATTGGAACCAGGGTACAAAATCACTTAACAACGTGACTCACAAAACTCATTCACATTGGCCAACAAAATAAATTAAGCATCAAGAATTCAAAAAATAAAGTGAAGAACTTACCAAAAGAGGCTGGTGGTTGCGATGATGAAGCAGCAGTCAGTGTTTTGGTTGGCAACGATAAGGAAACAATTGGACTTGATGAAGAAGCTGTGTTTGTGACACCAAAACCTGTAAATGAACTTGCAGCACCTGAGGAAGCAGCTGAGGGAGTGGAGGATGCTGCTGTGGATATCGTAGTAGCAGCTGAAGAACTCAAACTAAAAGCTGGCACGGAGAAGGATGGCTGAGTTGTGCTACTAGCAACTGGAGTAGAAGCACTGGTGGTAGTAACCGTAGAGAATAAAGGTGCCACGGAAGTCGAAAATGATAGAGAAGTAGGCTTTGTCGCAGTAGTCCCTGGAGCAGCAGACGCTGCTGTTGATGCTGCATTGCTAAAACTAAACCCGAAGGAAGATTGAGACGCTGAGGAAGCAGGTGTTCCAAATGAGAAGCTCGACGAACTAGTTGAAGCTGATGTAAGAGGGGAAGAAGAAGAAGATGCAGTGACACTATTAGTAGTTTTGGACAAAGAAGTGGTCGGAAATGAAAATCCAGAAGAAGAAGAAGCCGCAAATGGTGAAGACGAACTTAAACTCTGGGAAGAACTCGAAGAAAAAGAGTTCTGGAACGAAGAGGTCGATGCCGATGATATAGATGACGCAAACAAGCCCGATGAAGATGTACCGAAGGTATTTGACCCAAAACTGTTCGTGGATAACGGAGCCCCAAACAAAGCTGAGCCTGCACTTCCTGAAGATGAAGCTGTCCCAAACAGAGAACCAGAAGCGGCAACAGATGCGCCAGGCAAAGCTGATCCCGGAGTTGCAGTGGGTGCAGATGAGCCAAACAATGGAGTACTGGAACTAGTTGCAGAAGACACCCCTCCGAACAAGGATGGCGCCGAGGCCCCTGCAGATGGGGCAGCCCCAAAGAGAGAAAAAGA